ATAGTACTACTGTAATATTTACTTTATAGTTCCAACTTAACCCATCTCTATCTTCAATTTTTGGCTAAGCAGTTCTAAAGCTACTTCATCGCTGTCTTTTTTCCACATGCAAAATTAGCATGCAGTACTGAGAGGAAACCCTAGCTGCATCAGGAACATTTCTTTCTAATTACATGTCAATACTCAGCAACTTGAACTGATGCATGATGACAGGAAAACACATACTCAGAAAAAAGCGTGATAGAAATTCAACAGTAATATTTTGCCTCCACAGCTCTGCAACATAGCGGTTTTAAAATGCCAGAGGCTGATTCCCCCCCGCAACCCAGATCACAACATCTGAGCAATGTGGTAATTTTTCCTTGCTGGTGCAGTTTATAGGTAATACAAAAAGTAGCTGAGGAGTCACTTCATTAACACCACACTCTTTGCCACCAATTTTAAACATATTTCTCATTCTGTGTTTTATAATTATTCACTTACAGGATGTATCTGTTCAACCCTCCCACATCCAGGACACTAAAGTGAACATCCTTAGTACACTGTGAAAAAGTTTCACCTCTCACAAAAATAAATGTATCCAGCTATCTGAAATGACTCCAAATATTTGGATCAGATTCATTTTAAACACATTGTTTCAATCTAGTTCTTAGTGAACAATTGTGCATGTCACTGGAAACCCTATAAATACCTTGCACTTCTATAGCACTTTCTATCTTGAAATAAATGTAAACATGGTGCAAGAAAGAAGTCAAAGATATCTAGACCTGAAACTTGGGTTGTTGACCAAATACAGCAGTACTATCAAAATGTCAAAAAAGGGATCTCTGAGGAAAAGGAAGGGAGGCCTTATTACATTCGTTACTATTTTTAAAGTATCATTTTATCACTACATAAGACCTTTTCTTAAATGAAGCAAATCTGAATATTATCTTGTAAACTTGAGATATAGAGCGTAACCCATGTTGTTCACTAGACAGAGTTGCCAACTCATGATATTTGGAGATTTTTTAAAATTTCTTAGCATCTAGAGATTATTAGAAGCAAACTCCAAATTTTGCCCTTTTTCAACATAGCTGACATCTCCAATTACTTTCAATTGGATGGTAGTTCCAGAGAAATGGCAGCATTACTGACAGCTGTAATGTTGACCTTAGCAGAATTGATTGCTGCCTCCCATTCTTACCAATGGGACCACAGGCAGGCTGACCCCATTGAAGATGGCTTCCCCACATGGTGTCAGGAGGCATACCTGCAAAGTGTAACTCCTCTGGAGTAACCTGCACGCATTTCCCTCTTCTGTGACTCATTCACGCCGGTCTCCCTTTATTCTTATCACACAGTCAGCTCCTGTTCCACCCCACCTGGCCCTTTTTCCATACAGGTCTGTCGCCTCTTACGCGCATTTAACATGCGCGAATTCAGCTTTATGCGGTCGGCAAAAAAAAAAAAAATTAAATACTGTTCCTGTAGAGCGGACGATTCCGCCCGCCATTACACTCAATGTAATTTTGACTATACGCGGTTTTCGTTTTACGCGCTGACCGCGGAACGTAACCCCAGTGTAAGATGAGACAGACCTGTATCTTCCTTTTTTTCCTAAGCACAGCCTGGGCATCAACTGGGGAGCAGTGAGAGTGTCCTGCTCTCAGTTCTGGTGCCCTATTGTATAGCCTCCCCTAGCATCCAGTAGAAGCAATCGCAGGAAGAGTCCTGCTCAGTACCTGCAGTCCTGGGCTGGAGCACACTTAATGTACTCTGAATTTTAGGAAAATTTAGATAACTCTACCAAGCATATGCAAATAGCAATTTCCAGAAGCTTACGAATGCTGCCAAATTTGGATAGATTTTTCACAGTGAAAGAATGAGGCCTCTCTCTGACCCAAATGTGACCCCTCCTGTCAAATTTCATGTCAAAGTACAGAGATGCTAGAACTTTTCAATGAAACAGATGTAAGAACTTAACATCAGCAAAGCAACTTTTTTCCTAACCTCGTTCTTGGAAATGGCTGGGCATTTTTGCTGAAATTTCCCATAAAAATTCAACATGAGGCAGACTTCCAACATGGAAAGTTTAGCATTAACAGTTACATTTGGCAAAGTTATAAGCAACAGAAAAAAAACTTACAATGAAAAGTATGTCAATCTTAACTACAGGCATTGCTGCCAGCTCTGCCTATAATGATTATCCTTTATTGCTCTATCCTCTATTTGGCTTCAGCTGAATATCATTCACTACTATTTCGCCAAATACTGCAGTACTGTGGGTATTCTAGTAATGCCTAGAAAGCCAACTAAGACTGGGGTTACATTGTTATAGGCCCTATACAAACACAGCAAGAGATACTCTTTATCCAAACGAGCTGACAGACAGTTACAAATTCAGTAAATTACTAGGACCAAATTCTCTCTTTAGATACTCCCATATGTATCAATGGGTGATGCATGTAAACATTTTGTTTTGCGCTGTGTCAGGGTCGGGTGCAGCCTCACTGCCAAGACTATGTTCCAGCGGAGAGGGGCGGACTGCAGGGTGATCCCCCACCTCTGTGCAGCTAGGGGCCTGCGTTCCCCACTGCCATGCTGGAGCCTCCATCACAACTGCCCTTCTAATCTATTGTCTATAACAATTTCAACTCTAGTCTAACAACTGTACAGTCACGTGCTGAGTACTACTTAGCTATGGCACTCACTAAGGCCCAAAACTGTCAAAGCAATAGTTTCAATGGGGATACTCAAGTGCTAAATTTTAGGCACATATTTAAGTACTATGGCAGATCATAACCTAACTTCACACCAAAAGATGTGCTGCCCTTTAGGGTAGGTCTACACAGCAAAGAAAATCTTATGGCTGGCTATGACAGCCAATTCCAGCTCGCAGGGCTGGGACTGTGGGGCTGTTTCATTGCTGTGCAGACTTCTGGACTGGGGCTGCAACCCAGGCTCTGGGACCCTGCTGGGTGGAAGGGTCCCAGGGTTCCAGCTCTAATCTGAGCCCAGAAGTCTGCACAACAATGAAACAGCCCCACAGCCTGAGCCCAACGAGCCCAAATCAGCTGGCATGGGCCACCCACAGGTTTTTCTTTACCATGCAGACATACCCTTAAAGCAGGGGTGGGCCACCTGTGGGCCGTGAGACAATTTGTTTACATTGCCCGTCCGCAGGCACGGCCACCCGCACCTCCCAGTGGCCACGGTTCACTGTTCCCAGCCAATGGGAGCTGCGGGAAGCAGTGACCAGCATATCCCTGCAGCCCGTGCCACTTCCTGCAGCTCCCACTGGCCGGGAACGGCGAACTGCGGCCACTGGGAGCTGCGGGTGGCCGTGTCTGCAGACAGTCAATGTAAACAAACTGTCTCACGGCCCGCCAGAGGATTACCCTGACAGACCGCGTGCGGCCTGCAGGCCGCAGTTTGCCCACCACTGCCTTAAAGTCTTCTGTGCTTGACATACATGGAAATATTAGTATTGCCACCTGCTCTGTGGAGCCATAGAGATGCGCTAATTGGCCTAGTAAGGAATCTATTTGTCAAAAAACATTTCCTGAATCTTATTGTCTATATTGTTACAGACATACTTGCAGACAGGTATTTTGAAATAAATTACCAAAATAATTGAAAATGACTTGATATGCAGAATTTTAAAATATTGTACACAGAATTTTTTTTTTTGGTGCAGAATTCCCTCAAAAATAACCATTATACAAGGCACTGATGAGACCTCATCTGGAATACTGTATGTAATTCTGGTCTCCCATGGTTAAGAAAGATGAAGTCAAACTGGAACAGGTGCAGAGGAGGAATACTAGGATGATCAGAGGAATGGAAAACCTAGCTTATGAGAGGAGGCTTGAGCTTAACTTGTTTAGCCTAACTAACCAAATGAAGGCTGCGGGGATATATGATTGCTCTCTATAAACACATCAGGGATTAACACCACGAAGGGCCAGGAGTTATTTGAGTTAAATGCCAATGTTGACACAAGAATAAATGGATATAAACTGGCCCTCACCAAGTTTAGGCTTGAAATTAGATAAAGGTTTCTAACCATCAGAGGAATGAAGTTCTGAAACAGGCTTCCAAGGGGCAAAGAGGGGAGGGGGGGAGAGAGAACTAATTGGTTTCAAGACTGAGCTAGATAAATTAATGGAGGGAATGGTATGATGAGACTGCCTACAATGGCATGTAGCCAATCTGCCATTGGTAGTAGCAAATACGCCCAATGGCCAGTGATGGGACACAAGATGGGGAGGACTCTGAGTTACTACAGACAATTCTTTGCCAGGCATCTCGATGTTGGGGTCTTGGCGAAATGCTCAGGGTCCAACTGACCACCATATTTGGGGTTCGGAAGGAATTTTCCTCCAGATCAGATTGGCAGAGATGGGGTGGGGGAGGGGGAGGTTTCCTCTGCAGCATGGGGCATAGGTCCCTTGCCGGTTTAAACTAGAGTAAATGGTGGATTCTCTGTAACTTGAAGTCTTTAAATCATGATTTGAGGACTTTAGTAACCCAGCCAGAGGTTATGTGTCTATTACAAGAGTGGGTGGGCAAGGTTCTGTGGCTTGCAGTGTGCAGACTAGATGACCATGGTGGTCCCTTCTAGTCTTGGGAGTCTATGAGTCAGAGTATCAGGTAATAAAACCAAAGTGAAATCCTTTAGTTATCCTGCTTATCAAAGGAAAAACTAAAATCACCACTTCCTTCCCATGCCCTCCCTTTGCACTGTGTCAAGGAATAACTACATCAACCTCCCTTCATCCATCCTATCCCTAAAAACGGGTTTCTTTATGCATTGCAGTACAAAACAAAAACAGACAAACAAACAACCCACCCTCCTCATGGTCACAAGAGCTCAGACCCCAATAGGCAAAAGGAAAATGATTATGTTCAACTAGTTAGGGTAAAACAGGAAACTGTTTAGTACCCAAAACAAAGCAAGGTAACAACTATAGTCTTTCAAGGACAATGAGAAACTGGTTACAGTAACACTCACTCACAATTTTTCCAGAAGTCTAATGATAAGAATGTTACACTCAAGAGTAGAAGCAGGCAAACTGCACCTGCTGGAACAGAGGAACAAGTTAATAAAGCATAGGAAGCTGGCTAGCATATGTATTTGACCTCTTATTTTCCACTTCTGACTAGAAGAGGTTGTAAAGTGCGATACTGGGCGGGGGGGGGGGGGGGGAAGGGTATAAAGAACAGTTTGTTCCAAATCTATTTAAGATATTTAAATAAATATATATATTTGACCAAGACAAAAAATAGCTAGTTTATTACTACACGAGAAAAACCTATAATTTGTTATGTTTTGAGGGGAATTTAAAGGAGTCACATCTAACATACTATGCCACACATAGCAATGCAAGCTTCATTTCTGATTAATTTAAAAAAGGAAACATTTTAGAAACTATGTTGCTAGGGAAAAACTAACCTGGGTTGGATATTAACACTATCAGCATTTTCAGATCAACACTGTTAGAAGCCGTAGGATCCTAAAGCCCAGGAGTATTTGCCAAAATTGGCAGCTTTAGCCCTAGCCTGGCATCTGTGGTATGAAGCCTTTGAAGCTAATACAACTAACTGAAAGCAGTCTGAATTGGAGAGAGAAACTGGCAAAATTAAGAAAAAGCTTTTATTATACTCGTAGCCAAGTTCAAGTTTAAATTTGGCTGGTAGTAGAATGGAAGTATTAGGAGGAGGGAGAGCAGGATGGTTGTTTATGTTCTGTTCAGAGTAGCTAAAGCCCAAGCCACATTAACTTCAAAGGATTTACATCGAGCAGATGCCATTTCTAGGGCTGAAGTGGAAGGTTTCAGTAAAGACACTAAGGGATAGATTCTCAAAGTGATACACACAAGGATTTACCCATGAAAATTTCACTGTCATTCAAGCAAGTTAAGTGGCTAAATCCTCGTGCACGACTTTGAAAATTTAAAGTAAGTCCTAAAAGGTCAGCCCTTAGGAAATAAAGGCCTCCAATGCTGGTAAAGTCATTTTAAGCGAATTAAAATGAATACAAATTATCTCCCCCTTCCCCCCCCCAACAACTTTTTTTTTAACTCCAATTTAAAAAAAAAACACTTTTTAAAAATAAAACCAGACATCTCCACCAGGAAAGCTAACAGGTAATAGGGTACACAACCAGTGAAAGATACCACTATTACTCAGGGTGTGGTTCTTTGGTAGCAATATAAGAGGCCAAAGGGAGAGTGTTTCCAATAGCTATGGGGTGCTGATCTCAACAGCTACACATGCTGTCATTGGTTATTCTCTTTATTATTAAATTACACTAGATCTATTTATATTGCTGGCTTTGTACACATCTAATTTAGAAGTATGCTAATTTTATGAATTGCTAAACTGCAAACATTTCTATTTGAACTGAATAAAAATAATTAACTGTACACATATTTCACACATACCAAGATTATTTTAAACTTCTTTCCTTTTTATATCTATTTGTTCTCTTGTACATTGAACTGACATTTGAAAAGACATTCATTTTGTGAACAAGTACTGAGAGAAAAACTTTTTTCTTACATTGATTACCAGGGTTTTACACAGAGAATTAATTTTTAAAACCTACAGGAGTTATTCTGTAATACTGAATGTAAATGCTTTCTTCTTATAGATTGAAATACACTCATAATATTTTAAAAGTCTCAGCAACATTAAATTAGCAGAAACAATGAGCAATGATTAATATAGTGAGAAAAGCCACAATGTTTTTTAACATGCCAACATAGACCCTCCAACAGAAACAACTAAATACACAAATGAAGATGTGGCAATGGTTTGAAAAATTCTCTTTAAAAATAAAATGTAAGATATCAAGAAAAGTCTCTTGGCCACAATGGTAATGAGCACTAATATACAAACGTGGGGAAAAAAACTAAAATCTGTGACTTAAATTGGAAGAATGGGAAAACACATATTACCATCAAAATAAAAAAAATAGTATGCCATACCAAAGTGAACGAAATTCAAAACATGCAGAAAACTACATTTCGTATACTATGCATAGCTCTTCATTTCAGACTGTTCTGCTACTTATCGCCAAATATGTAGTCGGTGATCAGGTTTTCTTGCCCTAATACAAACAGTAAACTGGATTTAAAGAAGATCAGGTAGATTTTCAATTCTTTTAACTGTCAAAATATGAATTAGTATCCCCTTTACTAAAACTGCCATATTGAGTGGAACCATCTGAGTCACATTTTTCAGTTTTGAAATTAAAATTTCTGAATTTTCATTAGCAGATGTGGATAACCAAGAATAATCCAGAGCTGAACACAAATGACGCATCATGCAAAAATTCAACTTGCATACTTGTTCTGTTTCTTTCTTAAACTTACTTTTGTTTAATAGTTTTATTTTAGTGTGAAAGAACACTCTCTGCAAATGCCTCAGGTGTTGATGTTCAGCAAGGGAAAGACACAAATGGATGTGTCCCTTAATCACCTGGACTCAGTTACATTCAGTAGCAAGTTCAGTGTTCATTGAAGAATGAAAGAAACATGACAGTGTTGTTAAATTCTATAATTAAAAATAAAAATGAGGGTTAGAAGTGAAACCAACTAAAACAAAAGGTATTGTAAAGAATGATCAAACACCATATGCAAGGTTAATAAGTGCTCAGAAACTAACAAGCTACAGGCTATTGTACTACCATACCCATAAATTTCTTCACAGATTCATAGAGTCTAAGGCTAGAAGAGACCATTAGATCATCTAGTCTGACCTCCTGTGTAACATGGGCCCTTATATTTCACCTGGTTACCCCTGTACTGAGTCCAATAACTGTGTATGGCTAAAACACATCTTCCAGGAAAGCATCCAAGTCTTGATTTGAAGACATCAAGAAATGGGGAACCCACCTCTTTCCAGGATAGGTTGTTCCAACGGTTAATCACCCCCTCTGTTAAAAATCCATTCTTTATTTCCCATTTGAATTTGTCTTGTTTCAGCTGCCAGCCAATGCTTCTTGTTAGGTCTTTCTCAGGTAAATTAAAGAGCCTTTTTGTATCTAATATTTTCTCCCTGTGAAGGTAAGTATACAGTAATCAAGTCACCTCTCAATCTTCTTTTTGATAAAGAGATTGAATTCTTTAAGGCATTTTCACTGTAAGGCATTTTCTCCAGCCCTTGAATAATTTTTGTCGTTCTTCTGGGTGCAAGTTATCAGGGATCAACCGATTTAAAAACGTCCTTAGTATATGTTGTTTAACATCCTCCTAATGGACTAGAAAATATTTAATCATTCTGCTTCTTCTTTCCAAGTACAGAACACAAATATTTATTGAATACTTCTACTTTTTCTTCATGTCCATTAACAATTTTATCAGCTCTATTTAGTAATGGAACTATACCATAGTTAAAATTTCTTCTGTTCCGAATACTCTTAAACTCATCATCCTTAACCCTGCCAGTCCTGGATTTTTCCCTGATGCCTTTAGCTTTTCTTATCAATTTTCTATAGGTCATAGCAATCAATATAAATTAGGAATGATTTATTTCCTCCTTTCCTATTTGTTATACAACAGCCCCTCGCTAGAACACGCATCTTTACAGCGCAAATTCGATTATAGCGCGGGACCGCGCATGGATCCCAAATTTAATTACCTTAATTGGAATCCATGGTAACGTGGTCCCCGCGTTAATGCAGGACCGCGCATGGATCCAAAACCCCACGTTCTAGCGGGAGTCCAGTGTATATTGCTTTTTTTATTTCTAATTGCTGCCTTCACTTTGCCACTGAACAAGAAAGGGCTTTTAGCCAAAGCTGTCCTCTGCCTTGAATTGAATTGCTTTTTGGCCATCTAACAAACTATTCTTGAACTGCCAATTTTCATTCACATTTTTCTTTAAGTTTTTTCCTCCCAATCAATGTAGCTCACAATTTTCCTCAGCTTTGGGAAATTAGCCTTTTTGAAGCAGAGAGAGAGAGAGTGTGTGTGTGTGTGAGAGAGAGAGAGAGAGATTGCAGGTTGGGACTGTTCTCTGCCCCTATTAAATGTAACCAGGTCACGATCACTGGTCCGTAAGCAACCACAAACTTCCAGTGATTACACTCATAGTTATCAGTCATCATTAGGTCCAAAATGGAGTTCTCGTGTTGGGTGCAATACCATGTGTGTTAGAAAATATTAATATATAATTTTTAGAAACTCTAATAATGTTTTACTATCTGGCTGGCTGGGACTTCTAGCATAAGCTTCTGATATGGACGTGCCCGATACAAAACAATTTTTCTTTCCACACATTACAGACATGTACATAAGGATTAACTCATCCTGTTCTCCAGTTTCATTTGATAGTCTCTAACAGAACCCACAGACACCCGCTTTGCCCCTTCTAGTTATGTTAGTTAGCACACTGATCTATACATATTCAGGATCCTGTGGGTCTGAGTTATCAGCAATTCTAAAACAGGTAATCGTATTTTTAATTTAGAGTGTCACTCCCTAAACCTCTTTACCCATTTCATCTTTCCTAAGCAAGTTATAAACAGAGATTTTAACACTCCTATCATGCGATACATCCCACCAGTTTTCAGTAATGCCAATCATATCAAATTTCTTATAAATGAGTTTTTCCAACTTCACTTGCTTCTTATTCTTAGCATCAGTATATAAGTTATTGGAAAATGTTTTCTCTTCATATTCTTTGCCACACTGGTTCTATTTGTTCACGCTGAGTTTGAACTACTTTTGCCTTCTTAGAACTCTTCCTCTGAGTTGCTAGCTGTCCACTCCAGATAGGTTTCAGATACGAAGATTAGCCACATACCTGTGAGATGCAAGCCATACTCTTCATACAGCCAACCTCTCCCACTGGAATGTGGCTCAATGTTCCACAATAACAAAACCTGCAGCTTCACACCAGTTACACAACCAACTGTTTGCCTCCAGTATTTTCTTCCTTTTGACTTCAGGCATTCATGGGGCCAGAAGGATCTCTGAGAATATGACTAGGACTTCCCTCTTCCGTTCTCTTCCAAAATCCATTAAATA